CATTGAAGGATCTCAGGAGCCACATAAGGAATAATTCCATAAATTTCATTATCTTCAGCTTCGGTAGCAGATTTACTTAATCCTAAATCACCTATTTTGAGGGAGCTATTGCTTATCAAAATAATTCCACTATGTAAATCACGGTGGATAATACCTTTGCCATGAATCTTGGATAGGCTGAATGCGATTTTGCCTAAATGATTTAATTTATCGTGCCAACTAAGATTATAAAAATTTTCAGTTATATAACGAATCAAATCTCCCGAACCACAATAATTCATAATTATCATAAAATATTTGGTAATAGGACCTTGCGTAATACCATAATACCCAACAATAATAAGATCATTATAATTTAATTGATAAGATATTTAAAAGATTATTTATTAACTTAGTATATTAAAGATATTATAACAAATAAACAAAATATAGTAAATTTGTACCTCGTTTAACTCCTTAGCAGTAAAATTTTTAGAATTATTAAGTTTCTTAAGAGCCACTTGTTTATTAGATACTCGATTATATTTGTTTATTACGTTATTCCAACTATAATGCGTCTGGATGGGACCATCATTCCAAGTAGCTTTATAAACTTTACTAAAGCCGCCCTCACCAATAGATTCTACATTTTCGGAATTTATTATATGAAACAATCTCCATCTTGTCATGATATGCTTGGTTAATTTGCGTATACTTGATAAATTCGTCAATAATCTTATTTCCAGTTGGATTAAGAAATTTATTTGACCTATAACAGAAACGGCAAATTTTATGATTTTCTTCTGAAGGTTTTCTTATTTTTTTACATTCAATACATTTATCAAAATTATGTTTAGGCTTTAATTTAACCACGGGTTGCATTTTCTGACTTGATGTGTCATTAAAGTTGATTGACATGATTATTATGAAAAATTCTTTTCAGGCATTCAAAACCACACATATTCTTAAGATGTTGCAAATTCTCAAATTCAAAAATGAATTCCCAAAAGAACAGATTTATATGAGGCAATATCTTCAGTCCTTTTAGTTTTAGTAATCTAGTGGGGCCCCAACTTATTTATCTAACCAGAGTAGTTTATTCCTCTGAAGGAGGAAGAGGCGGCAAAATCACTTTCAGAATTTATATGTCCAGAAATTTAATTGAATTGAAAGAAAATTCCCAGCGAAAAAATAGATTTAATTGTCTAGATTGATTCCGCCCTTTTGAATTGGTATAAAAAGTGCGTCGATCTCATTCAACTTTCAATTTTGGTTAGTTCATTTGCTAGATGATTTTTGCCACGTCGGAGTTGGCGCCAAATATATCAAAAATCATATGTGAATGTTATTTATATTAAATATAGTTAGTTTTATTGAGAAATGGTAATAAAATTAAGGGAAACCTTTCCGATCAGCCAATAAGGTAACAAAAAATTTTTTTGAATTTGAATAATATTTGTTTCGAAAATTTTTCCTTTAATCTAAAAATCTGATTAGATGTAGAATAAAATTCTTTTTTTTAGATCAGGCTTTTCATCTTCGGATTAGATCGTTAGTGCGGGTAAGATGTTTTATTTTATTTATTTATTATTTATTTATTTGTTTTTTTCGTTTACATTATTTTTAAATTTTTTAACTTTTAAGGATGGTAAAGCAAAGGTGCAAAAGGTTATTTATACGAAATTGTACAACAACATGCTAGCGAAGGTGGAAACTTTAAAAGTTGTAACTGACTATAACAACCGCGTATAAATGTGTTAAATGATAATGAGAATTATTCATATACTGATTACTAATCATCCTAGCGGCGACAGTCGCCGCACACCAACCTAATATCTTAGAATGAAGTATTGTTATCCGGGAATTATGTCTTTATGCCAATAGTTCTTCTAACCATTATGTCCTTTGGTGTAAAAATTAACTATAAAAATGAAGAGATTTTCCTTTAAAAAAAGTAGTATTCAATTAATAAAATATAATTTGCTTAGTTTTCCCATGAGTTCTTTGTAACGATACGTTGCTTATTTGCGTTTGGTTAGAATAAAGTTCAGTCGAAAAGCTTACACCTTTTTATTTCGTTTATATATAAAGTTCTGAAGTAACACTACAAAAATATAAAAGATATTTTAATTAAAATAGATTATACTTTTTATAGCTAATTTATAATAGCTTTTGTTATATTCTTTCAATTTCCTTTTCTTTTTCGTAGACAAATTGGTTCTTTGTTTTTGGATGATCTTCAAGGTATTTTTGTTTTTTTCAATTAATTGAATTGTTTTATTCTTTTACTTATTAACGCTATACTAAGTTTTTATTTTATTTAATTTTTTTTTTTTGTTTTATAACGTTATACTAAATTTTAGTTTATTTTATTTCATCTCAGGCAAATGAACGATTATATTTTGGTTTTGGGTAGAGAATTTAAAAAGAAACAATTTAAACATTGCTATTCACGAATGTTAGACAATATTTATATGAAGCGAAATTATCTGATTCTCCACTAATTAAAAATATATTAATTAAAAATTCAAATAAATTAAAAAATATATAACGAATTTTTATTGATTGCAAGGGAGAGAACAAATGATTTAGAACTGCTCCTAAGAAATTGAAATGGAAAGATATTTAGAAAGTAAGAGCCGAATGAGGAGAATAAATGTGATGTAACGAAGCAAATCTATCCATGTTTTAATTAATAAAAGTCATAACTTTAATCGCAACATTATTGATCATTTATTGTAAAATTTCGTTATGGGAAGGAAGTTACAAGAGACTTTTTTTTTTTGTTTTAACAGGTACAAAAATATGGATGAGGGGTTCAGTCAAAAGTCTATAAAGTCTATAATTTCTACAATGTTTTAAAAAGGTTTATAAAATGTAAATATAATTAATATTTAAATAGATTTATCTAAAAAAAAAAAAAAAAAGTTAAATCTAAAAAAGTTTTCTAAAGAATAAAAAATCTTATAAAACTATCTTTAGATCTTTTCATTGAACAAACTCTTGGCCAAATGTTTAAGGTTAAATAAGAATTTTCTTCGTTAATATTAATGCGATTGTCAAATATCAAGCTAAAAAAGCAACGATTACTATAATTTGTTTTTTTTTTTTAAAATAAAAAAAAAATATATTTCTGGCGTTCAAAGTAAATTTTAATTTTATTACCTCCAATAATATCATCGAAGACTTCACAAAATTGTTTTCCAGTAAAGTTTGCAATCGTAAGAAAGATATTAATGATAACCATTAGAATGAAAATTGCAATCAACACGAAATTTGATTTAGCACACAAAGCAACATCAAAAACGTAACTATTTTAAATAAATTTTTTACGTGAATTAATATAAATTCTCAGGATTCGTGTAAATTGAAGAGAAACAAAGATACTAGCATATCATCTAACCTATGAGGTATATACTTATACCAAGCGTATTTTTTAACATTTCTGGATCATTTTTATAGGAAGCGATAATCGAAACAGATCTAATAAAAAAAAAAATATTTTATACGTTACACAGGCAATAAAAGCTTAGTTTTTAACCCAAATGATAAATGATTCTTACCATGAGAAATCTGTGGTGTGGAATACATCTTCTCTCTTCAATTCAAAAAATCCTGCTAATAATCGAATCCCGCCACCATAGAACAAAGCTAAACCGCAGCTTAATACAATTACGAATATTTAGATTTCCATGAATTCGTTATGCTTGTTTGTTCCGAAAAAAAAAAGAGAGACAATAGTAACATGAAGAATAAAAAATTTCAAAGGAAATCGAACATACAATATATAATAAAGACCTAAATAACCTTAATCCACTAGACCTATAATGAATAACCAAATACAGTATCTAATTCTAACCCTAAGTTCTAATCCCTAAAACTATTAAATCTAAACATTAACGTTAATTCAAATGTAAACTGTAATAACGTTAAAAAAAAAATTCTGTTTTAATTTGAATTTTTAGTTTCATTTTGAATTTAATTTTATTGGTTTATTTTATTTTTAATTGAATGTTTCCATTGTATCCTCACAAAGCCTTTTGATTTTAATCGGAGTAAATCACGTGTCTGCACTGTGACAGGACGGCCGACATTTTTTTTTTTTTTTGGAGACTTCACTATTATTATACATCGCAACGATAATTGAGGAAAAAACACATCTACTCTTGTCCAATCAAAAATACGGTTTTTCGCGATGTGTTTATTTTTTTTTTTAATAAAAAAAAAAAAGAACGAAAATTAATTCAAGATTAATTTTATTGACAATAGTGAAATTCACTGATTAAATTCGCTTTCGCATCGTTGTCAACTCGATTATTAGGCAGACTTCGTTTCTGGACACAAAAGTCCGCTTAAATGATAATCATGAGTAAAATATTTTCGCAACGATTTTTTATTTCCTTAAAAAAAAAAATTAATGAATAATATAAAAAGTTTATGATCATGAGCAAAAAT